ATGCTATTGATTTATTTATTTCAGCTGAGCTAGTGTCCTCTGCACTTGTTATGGGTGGGCTTGAGACCTGAGATTGCATTTTGCTCCTTGTCTTTATCATTTCTTTTAACACTGTCCTGTGGCCTTTGGTGTCGAGCTTTGGTGCAATTATGTTATCACTTAATGAAATTCAGGTACCGATATACCAAGTTCTGTTCATGCAGTTGTGCCTGGCTTGGGTTAGGTTACCGTGCTCAGCTCCTTACTGTTGTTGCCCTTGGAGATGGGCCTGCTGTACACCTCTGGTAAGATGATCGGTTCCTGGATTAGCCGTGTGGTTTTGACCCTAGTGTCACTGCGGGGACTTTAGCAGCAGCTCAAGGCTGTATGCTAGGTCTGGGCTGGGTCTGGAGGTATATGAGGAGCAGGGGCGAGAGAGCCCAGAAGCTCTCCCACACAATCACCAGTGTTGTGTTTTGGTGGATCTGCAGGACTCCCAAGAGCGTGGCAGAAGTTCTTACTCAGATGGCAGGCTGTTCTGGGTCTGGCCAGCCAGGGGAGGTCCGAATAACAAGGGCAGAGGCCTCTTACGCAGCTGGCCTGAGGTTGGAGCTGCGGGTGGCCGCAGGACTGAGCAGAAGCTCTCCCCCACACTCGCAGGGCCTGGGGTTGGTCGGATATGGAGGGCCCAAGGCACAGTGGAAGTTCTCACTCGAAGGGCAGGCTGCGCTGAGTCTGGCCGGGTGGGGGAGGTCTGGAGAATGCAGGGAAGTGCCTCTCTCACGCGGCGGGCCTGGGGGGTGCAGGACAGAGCAGTAGCTCTCCGTCACACTCGCAGGGCCTGGGGTTGGTCGGATATCTTATTAAACAATTTAGCTCAAGTCTTTTAAAGCACTAAAAAATGGGTAGCACGCAACTAAAGTGAATCTGAGAGCAAGAGTAAGGGTGCTTTCTAGGCAACATTGGTAATTGCTTAATTTGCAAATCTCTTAGGAGTTGGAATAGTTTCAGATTTTGTTCCTGTAAGTTTTCTCATATCTTCTCTACCACATAAATGCATTGTTTAACAATTATAAACTGTAATTTTTTTAAGGCTTTTGTGAATTTGATTGAAAAACTGATGGACATGTTATGATATATTATTTGTACTAAGAAATAATTTGACCCAAGAGCCTTTAATATTTGCATATAGGGGACTTCAGGAAAGGGAACCCAGGGTCTTCACAGCCAGCCCCCTCCCCATGGAGAACAGTTTCCTCGAATCCTTTGGGAGGCTGAGCCTCCGACAGCAGCCGCAGCAGCCGCCTTCTCGGCCGCCCCCGCGGGGGACACCTTTGCGCCGCCACAGCTTTAGAAAACACCTCTACCTCCTGCGAGGCCTCCCGGGCTCGGGGAAAACCACACTGGCCAGACAACTGCAGCATGACTTTCCCATGGCCATGATTTTCAGCACGGATGATTTTTTCGCCAGGGAAGATGGTACCTATGAGTTCAATCCTGACTTCTTGGAGGAAGCTCATGAATGGAACCAGAAAAGAGCAAGAAAAGCAATGAGGAATGGCATATCCCCCATTATTATTGATAATACCAACCTTCACGCCTGGGAAATGAAGCCCTATGCAGTCATGGCACTTGAAAATAACTATGAAGTTATATTCCGAGAACCTGATACTCGCTGGAAATTCAACGTTCAAGAGTTAGCAAGAAGAAACACTCATGGGGTCCCAAGAGAAAAAATAGACCGAATGAAAGAAGGGTATGAACATAATGTTACCTTTCACAGTGTACTTCACGCAGAAAAACCAAGCAGAATGAACAGAAACCAGGACAGGAATAATGCATCACCTTCCAATGGTGCAAGATACTGGAATTCCTACACAGAGTTTCCAAACCGGAGGGCTCATGGCAGCTTCACAAATGAGAGCTCCTTTAGCAGAAGGGGCCGCTGTCACCATGGATATTAGAGGCCTATCTTTACAGCCATTCAGAATTTTCCTAAATAAGTTTTTACTTCAACTTTGGTATTTATTGTTTGTTCAATTTTGGCAGAGGTCTGATTCCAGTGTAAATAGTCAAACCCCAAAGTTTCTGAGCAGAGGTCACTATATTCATTATCATCAACAAGAACTTTTAAAGAGCACTTGTGTGTGTGGTCTGATGCTGGGCATTTTGCAGATTTGATTAAAGTCTTTCTCTAGGGAGAGAATACATTTGAAACTGAAATCCAAGACCATAAGCAATTAGTCAAATAGGTTCACACATGAAAGTGTCTATATTATACAAAAATTTCAGTACCATATTATGAATCCATTTATTTTTTCAAAAGTTTCATCTCTTACCAGGAAAGCGAGAAAGGTGGGGTAGAGGCAAGAGGTACAAAATGTAGTGCCATTGCTACTTGGTAATCTATGTATCCAAAAACGTGAAATATGTCATTAATGATACTGATTTTCTTTTAAAATGGCTAGAAAGTTTACATATAAGGGAATACTATCCTTCAAAGGAGACCCTTTGGGAAGTTATTCCTTTATTTTAATGATCTATCACTGTTACAATGTCTGTGGAACTGTGATAGCTATACAAGTGACTTAGGAAAATCAGTGTCATTGTCATGCATTGTGTTTACTTTATTAAACAGGATTAAATTTTTGTCTGTTGTCTAATTGTATAAATAAAATTAACTTGCTGTCATAAAATAATTGTAAGAGAAACGAACAATTTTTAAAATCATGCCTATAAATGTAATTACTTGGCAGCCAAAATATTTGGTGGGAATGCAAGGAATTAAGCAGCCTAGGATAAAGATGAGTATGCACAGCCATGCTCACTGGAAGACACTGCAGTCTTAGTGTGTTACATGACATCATTTGAGACAGTAAACTTCTACACAACTCTGGAATGTCTAATATCGATAGTGAATAGAAGAATCCAAGTTAAATCCTAGCATTTAAGATCAGATTTGGTATGAGACCATGATGGACAAGCACACAGGATGTATGCTCTATTTATTGTTAGCCAACAGCTTCTTTCTAATGTTCTGTGAATTATTTTAAGTGTCTTATATAATGGTGCTTTTATGGTTATTATAAATTGTATATGGTATTGAGTTTATATGGATTTGTCACTGAATTTTTTTGTTCAATAAATTTACCTAAATCCCAAAGAAAAAAAAAGATTTGCATATAGGGTTTTTTGATTTATCTTTTACTATCTCAAAGGTATTAGTCCTAATTATAAACAAATTAACCTATGTTAAAGCATATTTTTGGGTACTGTATTCATGTGTCATTCATGTTCTGAAATTTTGAAGGTTAATTCAAAATGGCATGTTATAGAATATTCAAGAAAAGAAATAATTACTCTTAATACCAGCTTTCTAAATTTCAGTGTTGGTTTTAGTAAAGAACGATAGTATATTCATTAAAAGCATTGAAAGTTTAAGAGTCTTTCTATAAAATATAAATATCTAAATCCCAGTTAGGCATGGAAGATTAGTATTAATGTTGGATTTTTGTGTTTTATATTTGTTTTAATGTTTAAATGCAGATAAACCATTTAATATTTGTCAGCATGCTTTTACAGAAGTAAATCTTGAAGTACAGAACTTTGTTCAAATGTTCTTGTACTTTTTCAAATCACTACAAGAAATGACTTATGTATTAAAAATTCTCTTAACCCCCCAAAAGAAGTTTCTAAAAAGTCTTGACTTAATAATAAATATCTAAAGTTAAAATTAATTGAAGTGCATATAAAAAGCTATAGTAGAAAATGTGAGCATAAGGAGCTCAACTTTATTAATTTAAGTAGAAAATAATAATGTATAAATATTTACCTCCTACTCAAATGTGAGAGCATAATGGAGAAACTTTGGCAAAGTTTATCAATCTAAAATAAAAAAGCATAAGACCTTATAAAACATAAGAAACAAGCAGCTGGATATGGTTGCGCCTGTCTATAATCCCAGACAATGCTTAGAGACTGACGCAAGAGGATCACAAGTTCAAGCCCAGCCTGAACAACTTAGTGACCCAATGAGAGCCTGTCTGTCTCAAAACAAAACAAGTTGGGGAAAGTGTAAAGGCCCTTGGTTCAATCCCCAATATTGGTGATGGCAGGGGTGGATTTTTAAGACTTGGAATAACAGAACTGAACAACAGGAGGGAAACAAGTGAGAGATAACTCCCTTGACTTTTTGCCTGAAGGTTTGTTCCCAGTGGTGGTGCTGGTAAGAGGCTGTTCAGATTACAGTTTGAGTCCTGCCTGGGCTACCTGAGTGAGTCTGAGTGAGTTTTCTTGGAACTGAGGGGACTTTGTCAACCTGAAAAAGGGCACTGGTGAAGACTAAACTTGTGTTCACATCCCTAAGATCAGGAACATGGCAAGAGACGCTGACCTCTCCACTTCTATTGAAATTTTGATAGAGAAACTATGCAGCTCTTTAAGGAAGAAAAATAAAATTATAGAGATTGAAGAGAAAAAAGAGAGATTTTAAACAATGCTGTCTGTAGACAAAACAATCAGGTAGAGAAAGAATCTGCAAGAACTACTTGTTAGTGAATGAGCTTGCAAGATTCCCAAAGCCATGATAACATACTAAATCAACTGCATTTATACATATTTGGAATAAATCATCTGAAATGTAAATTATCCATTTATGTGGATATGCAAAAGACTTAGAATAATTTTCAAACTCTTTGGGAAAACAACTAAGTTCTAACTTTCATCTCATAGTCAATTGAATGGCAAGGTCTTGTGAATTTGTCAAAGTCCAGTTTTGTTTTGTTTTTTAATTTTAGGAAACAATATCACTTCTGGAAATATTATTTAAATATAATATTGATAAAATTCTAGTAAAGTGTCAGATTCAGTGAGCTAAAAACATTACATAACAACACCATCCCCAGCTGAGGATGGTGGCATACACTTGTAGTCCCTGGACTAGGAAAGCTGAGGCAGGAAAATCACTAGTTTGAGGCCAGCCTGAAATGCATAGTGAGGCTCTGCCTCAGCAAAAAGACAACAAACACACACTTTACATATGTATGTATGTATGTATGTATACATACAACAAAATAAGTATTAAGAATATTCGTCATACCCACAAGGTCAATATTTGAGAATAAATTTAAGGGTAGGTGCCACTAGCTTAATAGTCCTTTTGTTTAATATGTATTATTGGGTGTTTAGAGTCTGATTATATTAAGCATGGAATTGTTTATCTTTATAAAGTTAGTTATCAATGTATATTGGTGAGTTTAATAAATTACATACATGAATGTAATAGGCTAAATTGACAAATTCTTCTCCATACACAAAACACTTTTGTTTAAAACACATAATCAACTACACGCACACCTAACCATTATATGCAGCCCCAGACTAGCTCCTAACATGTACTAAGTATCTTATACTTATTAAATGAATTCTACAAGGTAAACTGTTGAGGAAATTGAATTATAGAGTTTTGAATGTACAAACAACAATACAATAAATGTGTATTTTCTAATGGCAACAGAGAAGCACATTAAACAGCAGAGAGAAGCCAAGCTACAGAGGTGTTTTAAAAATGAACAAGGGCCCACCAGATAACTCAGTGGACTAAAGCACCTACTTAGGTAAACACAGTGGCCGGGGTTCAATGCCCCCCCTGCTGCGCCGGCCCCATTCCTGGGGTGCACTGAGATGGGGATTGAGACTGGGCGTGGTGGCATGCACCTATAATCCCAGCTCGTGGGAGGCTGAACACAGGTGGATCACTACAAGTCTGAGCTGTATAGTGAGACCCGGTATCAAATACATAAATGAAAAAAAAAATTAACAAACAGCCAGGTGTGGTAGTACAAAGCTATAATCCTAACACTCTGAAGGCTGAAGCAGGAGAATCACCATAAATTTGTGGCCAGCCTAAAACTACCTAGCAAAACCCTGTCTCAAAAAATCAAATAAGTAAATAAATGAACAAACATAATTATAATGTTCCTAGTTTTTATCCAGAAAATTGCAAGTTAACCGTAATTTTTGAAAAAATCCACTGACATTTTTTTCCCAAGTGAAGAACAGTATTTTTTCCCAGGTGAAGAAACAGTTAGGAAATTCCTAATCCCAATCTAGCACTTGTTGGGCTAAAGGAGATTGGGCATTTACTTCACTGAAAATGCCAGGTATTGTGACTTGTGTTACAATACATATTTTAATGAAACTGTGAATGGGCTTTTCCACACAGTGATAAATTGGTTTCTTATTTCAGAAATCAGGAATAACAATGGACTACAATGTATTAAGGTTGGAACTGTGGTATTATCTAGTGATATACAGAGCAACATTTTCACCCATGACTTTGAAAAAAACTGCAAGCAGGTTCTAGCACATCGGATATCAAGCCTGCACAGGTTTCAGGGATGGTTTGGTATCTCAAGGAATATAACATTTCTTTTTTAAATTGTTTATTTTTTTATTTTTTATAATTTCATTGATAAACAAATAGCAATGAGACAGTTTCAAATCAAATGGGTAGGACAGTTTCAATAATTAACACATTGCATACATTCTTCCTAGTGGTTAATTGCTGTACAAGATGCGGACGTGATATTCTATTTACAAACATCATTAGAACAAACCACTCTATTCATTAAGAGAATGTAACTATATATCTATCCTAACCACTTTGAATACGCAGATACAAAATGGACATTCGTCTGTATCCCCTTTTATTTTTGTTAAGTTCTGTTATTTGAATATGATAGGTATATAAACTCAGCAAAATATTCTAAAAGAGTCCAGTAGCCCATAATAGCATTGGGTCTTCTGTTTAACTGGCAATGTCAGAAGTTGTTGATCTGAGTCCCCCACAGCTCAACATAACAGCATGGCTTTATTTCCTATATTTCGTCTTCATACTTTTCTACTGGATGGTTAAGACCAAGGTAAAGCAGGA